ATCAGATGCTTTCTCAGCTTTTTGATACCGAGTCATGTGGACAGAATGAATACCTTTGTGTGTGTGATGTGTTCGCAGGGCCTGGGGCTGTTTGCTGCGAGAGACATCGAAAAACAAACTATGGTGATCGAGTACAATGGAACCGTCCTCCGAAATGAGGTCGCCGTCAGCAAGGAGAAGATCTACAAATCTCAGGTGTTCATCTGATTTGAATATATTAAAAGCTGAAATTCCCCTTCCATGACAAACGGCATGTTAATTCTCTTCTCTCCTCGACAGAACCGAACAGTGTTCATGTTCCGCATCGACAGCGAACACGTTGTAGATGCCACTCGAACTGGAGGGCTAGCAAGGTACTGTGAGATTCCTTTGCTTATTGTGACATTTCTAAAGAGAACATTTAATAACGTTGTTCATTGTCCTGCAGCTCCAAATCAAGGACACTGCTCGTCTGCACACTGTTTTTTTCAAGATGGTGCCCTATTCAATCTGTTACGCCTGTATTGCCCTTCTGCCACAAAGCACACACTTTTTAAAAATCATTTTACACTTACACACATTCAACCGACTTTCAAAAACACAATAACATAAAAAAGCTTCACAGAGATAAATAAATGCTTCAGCCTTTATTATTAAAAAAAGAAAATACATGTGAGAAAGAATAGGAAAAGTATCATGTTAAGTAGTATCAGTAGCAGTCGTAGCATTAGAAATCTAGATTCTTAAGTTAAAGGAAATGCATTTTCTAAATTCAGATCCAAACCAAAATACTTGATTTATATAAAGAATATATCATAATTGTAATTTGCAATTATTTTAAATGCAAAAGCTACGTTTCTTCACATTCATACCGAGAATGTTGTGTGATTGTGTTTGAAATCTGTTTTTCACTTCTGTTTTTTGTTTTTTAGATATGTCAACCACTCTTGTGGCCCTAACTGTGTTGCTGAGGTGGTCACATTTGAGCGGGGTTACAAAATCATCATCAGCTGCAATCGCAGAGTTGAAAAAGGAGAGGAGGTGAATATCTTAATTTCTCAATTAGACTTCTTACTTAAACGACTGATTTGAATCTTGTCAAAAGCTCAAACGATGACGATGCTTAGAAACTGATGACTCTCTCCCTGTTTCCCAGCTTTGTTTCGACTACCAGTTTGACACTGTGGCGGGTCAGAACAAGATTGCTTGCCTCTGTGGAGCTCCCGAATGCAGGAAGTGGATTAACTGAGGAAACGACAAACTTAAATGCATTCCTTGCTATAGAGTGGATGCTGGGATCTCTGCACAGAGAAAAAAGGCTTCACATTAAAGTCATTTTATGAATGAGCAGAAGGCCTGAGCCCTGAGAGAGATAAATGAATTCACATGTGGGTTCATCGAGACGACGGAGAGGAAATCGGCTGGAGGAAGGGAGATGTAACACAGTAGCAGGGTGTGACTCGTGCCATATGTGAGGGGCTCTGTTGTATGAGATGCCTCTGTGTGTCTGTATGTGTCTGTGCATCTGTTGGGTGTACATGGGGTGCGGAATCCACCAGCGAATGAGAAAGCACTGTGCAGGGTGCGGCCTTATTGCTTACTAAGGGCAGGCCCTTTTGTTTCATACTGTCAATGTATACCGTATGACTAAATGTAGACATCACTGAATGAGGAATGTACAGCAACGAATACCGCGAAGGGAATATTAACTTGCACTAAAAAAAGAAAATATACAAAAAAACACACACACCCGAAAACTTTTTAAATACTTGATTCCATGAGTCAGTTTTATCATAGGTCTCTGTCATGTGATTTGTGTGGAATTCGAGAGGTTTTGTATTTATTACTGAGTGAATGAATTTTATTCTCAAAATGATGAGATTGAGTTAAAGAAGGCTAGATTACTTTTGTTTTTGAAGATTGAGGAAGACATGCTGTTACTATTGTATAAATGTACATAAAGAAAACTATAGGAATAACCGACCAAATACTACCTTAACCTTCTCGATGTTTGGGTGTTTTTAAATTGTTTTTGTTCCGTTTGTCATTGAAATTTATTTAAGATGGATGTTATTTCAGTTTGAGAGTATATATTATGATTATTCTGTACAGAATTTGTAATATAACCACAATAATTCACAAAGTATTTTTGTTGTATTAAAAGTAAGGTATTGTAGCGTAGTGTTTTGTGACTTACACATGCTTTGACCACTCAAAAAAAGAAATATTTTTGTTGACTAACGTAACGAGTTATCAGTTACAGAATCAAGAAAAGAAAGACTCTTCAAATAGTGAGAGATCAGTGTGATCTGTTTGCTGTTAATCAGGTTTGATTTTAAAGAACTGTGAATTAGGTTTTGAAACCCAAAAATGACTTTTTAACTTTTTAACACGGATAGAAACACCGACATGTATTTACCTGTTTTTTGTTTTTACATTGCTTTTAAAATAAGGTGCAAACGTCTAATGATATTGTGAGTTAGACGAACCAGTGTGTGACAGGAAGAATCGTAACAGGGAACTGGTGTTTGGAACCGGAGGGTGTTCTACCTTTTTTTTGGACTGAAATGGCATTCTCCTTAATCAGAAATATTTCTTATACTGACACTTCACAAGTCACATGCTTAGAAACGGAAGAGTTTTTGCGTGCACAATTTCAAGTCGACTGTAAAATTTTGGAGACAGTCTTAGAACTTGTAATGTATATGGCATGTATTTTTTTAACTTTCCGAAGACTCAATTGTATATATTTTCTCAATGAATGGTTGTAACAAAATTGTTTCTTGGATATTTTTCTCTTGTATGATATTATATCATCCTGCCAGTGTGTTTGTGCTACATTTTCTTGGTTGTGTAGTCAGATTTTTATTTCTTTTTTTTTTTCTTCTTTTTTTTTGAAAATGCCTTTTGAAGTGTACAGAGTATGAGGTTTGGAGTTTGTGGAATTGAATTTAGAAACATTTACAAAAATAAACTATTTTACATGTTAACCATCTGTGTACGTCATTTCAATTATCGTATTTTCAATTGTTGACTATTAAGCTGTAAATATCTTTCATTTCCCTAGCTTTTGATATTGAAGACTTATTGTATCGATGAAGATGCCAAGCAAAGTATAACGATTATTTTCATAATACATCATTAGTAATAATTTACAGTAATTTTTAGAGGAAGTTTATTGCTTGGAATACAAGCAAATACGCGGTTTCCAAGCTGTTTGCCTTGTGATCCCTGTTAGGGCTGCCATTAGCAACATTTTCCATTATTGATTGCAGATACATGTATAGATAGTAAACATACCCATTATTTCCCAGAGCCCTAACTTCATTCTGTGTTTTCTCCGACCAACAATAAAGATATTGCTACCATTATCATAACGGTCTCAGAAAATCAAAAAAGATTTCAGTTTTTCTTCAAATAACACTTAAACAATAAATCCATGGTTAGAAAATTAATTTGCAACGTTTTTTTAATGCTTACCTTTATCTCTTGAATCATCTTGTGATTCCTCAGATTCATCTCGAACAAGGTGGATGATCTAAACCTTACAGGTAGGTACAAAGATACATGATTATTTTGAGTGCAACTTTAACATAATTAAATGGTGTATTCTGTTTGCCGGGACCTACATATTGTTAGACGGGCAAATCAGGTTAATACGACCATGTGAGAGCACGCTTAACTTTAGGCTTATTATCTACACTAAAACACGATGTTCTCAACGCTTACTGACAAAAGCCCATACAGTCCTAGGCCGTGTTCAACTCTGATCAGTGGATCCTCTGTCCTTAGCTCATGTAGTCACAGAAGCTAAATAACTTGTAACAGTTGTCTTCGATATTTTATACTTCTTCTTCCTTTCTTGAAGTAAACTCTGGAGATGTTTTAGGTCCATTTCTTATACTATTTAGATTGCAGTAAGCTATTCATCCTAATACAATGAAGATGGACTATGTTGGTTGCATGTTCCATTATGCATCTGTACACTGCTTCCCATTGGATTGTAGGACTTTAAGTGTCTCTTATGATATTTTATGTCCTTCACTTCCTTTGTTTTGACAAGATTAATATTACTATCATTGTAATTATTTGTTTTTTGGTTATTTGAATCAATATTTATTTTTTAACATTATCAGTGGTGTAAAGTAGATTAACTCAAGTACTGTACTTAAGTAACATTTTGAGATACTTGTACTTTACTTGAGTATTTCCAATTTATGCTACATTGTACTTCTACTCCACTACAATTCAGAGGTAAATATTGTACCTGTACTCCACTACATGTATTCAATACCCTTAGTTACTTTACAGATTTGGATTAATAATGTGAAATGTAATCAAACAATGAAACGGACCAATCTGCATCATGAGTATTTTTATATATTTTGATGCTACTACTTTTGTATTTTAACTTGAGTAACATGTTGAATGCAGGACTTTTACTTGTAACTGAGTATTCCTACACTCTGGTACTTCTACTTTTATTCAAGTACTTCTCCCACCTCTGAATATTATGCACATTACTAATTTTTTCATAATCTACATCGCAGTTTATTATTGTCCATCCAACCAGGTACAATCTGAGTCACACTGACATCTGTCGGTGGAGTTTCTGACTGCAGCCCACACTGCCTGGTGTTGTGTCGAAATAAGCTTCCCCTTTAAAAATCTGCTTTCTTGGCTGTGTGCCCTCCGATTGGTTTTACCTTGTTTTTCCACCGTTTAAAGAAATGATTGTGGAAGGAGAAGTGAACAAGTAAACATGTAGAATTTGCTCTCGATTAAAATGACCTCATTTTAAATTAACTGGACTGTGTCATACATTTAAACGAAACGTTGACTGACGGAATGATGCTGTTTACATTTCGAAAGTCCGACAGAGACACACATCTATTGGGGGGTGTTGACTGCTACGTAACACCTGTAAACAGTCTATGGTTGACGCTCATTTGAAGAAGCATGCCCTGCCTCTTTTCGCGGCCGTGCCTACTTCCTGGTAGATGAAGCAGCGCCTCAGTTTTGACGTAGTAAGAAGAGGAGCAGCTGCTGAAGTGAAGGTGGAGAGGCTGCTGTTGATGGTCTTTAGCACTTTGTTTGCACACGTTTTTATTTAGGCTCCTCTGAAGAAAACATGGGAAGCACCGTGATGGAGTCCAGCAAGGACAGCTCAAAGAAAATGCCAAAGAAGAAGAAAAGCCTGCGGATTAACATGCCTGTGAGTCGGTGAAGTATCAACTAATGTGGCTTCTTGCTGTGAATGTTAAAAACCGAGCTTGTTATTGAACTTTTCAGGACATCAGGAGGGACACTTTTAGACAGGGTTTATTGCATATCTGCCTGTACTTGAACGCGACGCAGAAGAGCATGCACGATTGACAGCTGTCTCTGTGCTAGGACTTTTAAATGCAACAGAGGAAATAACATGTATTTTGTTAGGCGAGCCCATGCTGGAAACAGTTGATTGTTTGCAATGACACATTTTTAGACACTTCCTTAAACGTTTTGATCAGTATGTCCTGTAATGTGTTGACATTGTAGCCATTAACATCAGCGTAATAACTAACATTAGGGCTGAAATTAACCTTTTGTTTTATTTATCTACAGAATATGTAGCCTACTCTAAGCATTTGGGTATTGTGAGGAAAAACAAATAAGCAAACATTTAAGAGGAACCAACGTGCTCTAAATTAGCAAGTCATGCTTTATTATGTTCTCTATAAAGAGCCTTTGTTTATTTAAGTTCATTGCAGTAGTGATTCACAGATGCTTTATTCAACATACTGGGCAGGCAATGTCTGTCATTTTATCCACAAGCCTTCAAAAGACTGTGAAGCTAACTGTTTTACTGCATACTTTAAAAGCTTTTTCAAGCCTTCTGTTTTTCAAGGTTAAAATAAAACATGTTTTAAACACTGTGAGCAGTACCAACTTTTCTGTTTTGTCTTTTAAGGTGTATGACAGGTGTATAGCTTACAGGGAATAGTTTTTTGGATGGCATCTATCAGATCCACCAATTGCAAGCTCTACAACATTTAACTGTACTTGTATTGCATACTATCTCTGTCTCCTGTACAAGCATTTGGTAAATAGTTGCCTTTGTTTTGCCTTCTTTGGAAAATGACATAGCAAAAAGTGCCTGCAGCTGAGAGTCTCATTTACGTTTTCATGATGCATTCATCATGTGCAGATAATTAGATTGGAAGAAAACACTTCCCCAATAGTAAGCCTGTGAATTACAACACTTTTTTTGTGATCAACACTCAAGTTGTGTGTTGAAGTTCTCAGACATGAACCATGAACTTCACCTATGTTATAAATATTTAAATAAGTGTACATGGCCATAAACAAACTTTCTGCTGAACTGCCCCATAGTGGAATGTAAAACTCAACCTTTGGTATGCGAAAGGTTATGTGTTGTGTTTGCTTGCAAAGGTTTCCGCATTGGCCAAACATGTTTTTCTTCTTCTTGAGTGGTAACATTTTCACTTTTAATGATGAAGAGAAGGAATAATGTACCCTTTCTGAAATATGCTTAACTATTTAATAGTGGCAGAGAAAGCATACATTTTTCCTGTTATGACTTGCAGTTTTGTTTTACTGCTGTATTTCCTGGAAGTTATCTTTATCCTTGACATTCAGATTTCTGTTTTGTGCAGGACTTTGGTGCATTTACTTCCCCACAAGTGGAGACAAGTGACTCAACAAAAAGTGGCGCTAAGACGGTAAATAAAGAATTTTCGCGCCTTAATTATTTTCCTTTACTAGCCAATTGTTTGTTTTTTCATGCTTGTTTTTTCCAGCACATGGTTTATCTTGTCACGTTAGCTCTTGTTTGTTTGGCCTTGAACACATTTAGCCGTGTATTTAGGGGAGAAAGATATTCCTCAAGGCCATCTCTCCCTTTCTGCCAACCCTGACCGGTTTACAGTAACATTACGCCCTCTGTGTTCAGGCATAGCAAGATCAAGAAATTGATTTTCTGAAAGAAAGAAGCCACTTCCTACTGTCTGCTCTGATTGATTAGAATAGGAGTAAACCTCGATCATTAGCTCATATCCACCAGAGTACATTCTTCACTTTTACCCCAGTAACATTGTGTAATGCTGATATAAACCTGCATTCTCCTGAGTCTATATCCAGACAAACACTGAACGTTCACTTGCCTTAACAAGCTCTTGCACAATGACAGAGGGAGAGGCACACAGAAAAGATGGGTGTGTGCTCACGCTCCTACAGATTTGTCACAGGATTGGTCTAAACACAAATGTGCTTCTAAGCAAGCCTCTAAGCAAATATCAGTACCAGAGTGACCAGACAAAACAATTATTCCCTTTTCATTTTGTATTATCAGTGCATTGCATTGCAGTGCTGTGGTTCTGTCTCCATCTAATATGCATACTCTGTTTTGTTGAGGCTAGTTATTATCCAGGCTCTTAACCACCAACAATGTTACCAAAACACTCCGTTACGTTTGAATGTTTTCTGTAAATACAACCTCCTAGCTGGAGATTGCTGCGTATTATAAAGCTTCACTGTTTCAGTGCCCACAAATGGTTAAAAGATTTGTTGTTGGCACATCCCGAGCAGACAGCTCAGTGGTGGGAGGAGGCGCTCGCTGACTCAAACGAGATTGGCTGCCATGCCTCCTGTTTTGTTTTGGTGTCTGCACAGCGAATAGAGAAGCATTTATATCAGTCTGTTTACAATAAATTGACCTTGCAAAAACTTGTAAACACAGAAAGTCAAAATGTAAAAATATGCTTTAGTTTGGCCAAGGAGAGCAGATTTTTTTTAAAGTTAACCTGTATGTGATGTTACTTACTGATATGATGATGCCCTGTGCAGCATGATATAATTAAGATAGTTAAATGAAGAAAGTTTTGATCTTTACGATGTTTTAAAACATTGTGAGTACAGGATACACTGCAAATTCGATATGGTTTCCTGTTCAGCTCTGATTAAGTCTTGCACAGATGGGTGTGCAGACAAACTGAGAGGTTTCTGCTAAGCAATTGTTTAGTTACAGTCAAATGTTCTCTGAAGGGAATTTCACTGCAAAACACGTTAATAATGATATGTCCAAGAGGTCTCTGGTTTAAAAGAAAGTCCAGAATTAATTAATAAACTTTTATAGATCAGATAGAATATTTGTCTTATTGCATCTTGCACACAACCACATTCTCAATTTTCTTTTTATGACATAACATTGAGTGTAGCAATGTGCTTGAGTAAACAGTACAGTGTTGTATATGTGTGGGGAAAAGAAGAAGTAACCAAACGAAAGCTCCCATAAAAAGTGCAATCAGCGGCAGTCATTTCACAATAAACCTCTCTCTAGATTTGCAACATGCCTCTCACACAACACTGTGGTTTAGGGCTGTGCAATTAATCGTATTTTAATCACAATTACGATTTTGGCCTGCCACAATTACGAAAACAACATAATCGAATAAAACAATTATTTTGCTTTGCTAGGTTGTGCACTGCAACATATTTGATCTAATTTATTTTGGTCTAATTTATTTGTATTTATCATATTTATATATGATAAGTAGCTTTTGGAAGTGAGCTCCAAAATATTTGTTGATCTTGTTTATTGGTATTTATTATTTTGATATTATTTATTTAAAGTTTTTCAGTTGAATTATACGTTCAGGGTAATCAACAGTTATAAGATACTGTTCAAATTATTATTTGAATTTGTTTTAAAGTTCAATAAATGGATGTTTTCAAAGTCAATGAATAATCGTATTTAATAATCGTGATATCAATTATTGACCAAAATAATCGTGATTATGATTTTTGCCATAATCGCACAGCCCTACTGTGGTTACACACTGAACATAAACCTAACTTTAACAAAGGTGCAGAAAAATAAATTGTTTTTATTTCCTTATTGCCTCTTTTAGGCAGAACGTCAAATCCATTCAGCCAGCTCCACCAAAGGAGAGTCAATGAGGAGCCCAGCCACGCTGCCCCTGCATTCTCAGTCTGCTCCAGTGCCAGTGAGGACCAGTTCAGGGTCTCCAAAAACTATCTTCCCCTATCCCTCCTACCAGGACTCGCCACCCAAATCCCCCCGCCGCTTGAGCTTCAGTGGTATCTTCCGCTCCTCATCCAGCTCAACGCCTCCAATCATCAAAATCTTCTCCAGGACGAGGAAAGGTGAGTGGAGAAGTTAACTTACGTAGTTTACTTTGGTGTATTAGCGCATTAATATAATCATTAACAAAATAGGAAAACAAATATGTATACATATATTTAAAAATAGTATTAGATATACTGTAACTATGTAACTATTTAAACTTAATCTTAAACCTAAGCTTAGCAGGAATATGCACAATTATATCCAATAAATGTTCAAAGTAAAGAATATGCAATGTACAGAAAAATTCTTCAGAAAGATGTGCATTAGTGAAACGCATAAAAAGTATAAATATGTTCATTTGTGGTCAGGGGGCTACTGTGGCTGTAAGGTAGTGTGGTCGTCTGGCAATCAGTAGGTTGGGGGTTTGATCCCAGCCCGTGCAATCAAAATGTCGATGTATCCCGATGGTGTGATGTATGAAAAAGTGAGAATGGGTAAATACTGACTTGCATATGTAAAGCACTTTCAAGACTCCTAAAGATTGGATAAAGCTCTATATCAAATGCAGTCAATTTACCATAATGTAACTTGTAGTACTATTGTTGTATCTTAAACGTTTTATAAAAGTAAAACACAGAATGACAGCTGTTGCCAATGCAGAATAATAATCATGTTGTGATCTTTTGCAACAGCGGGTCTACGAGGAAGACCTTTGTAAAGACAGCAAGACACAATAGATGCATCTATGTCATCTCAATGATTGTTGTGGTTTCCTGCTTTTTACAGAGCTAAAGCCACACAAAGGAACCTGTCTATGTGATTGAGATCAGGAGTTCAGATATGTTGTAGCTTGTGACAAAATATACATCAAAGCAAGTCATGCAGCTTTTTCTCAGACACACACAGTGAGCATCTTTCTGCGGATAAGGAAGTAGAAGCCACGATTTCATCATGGTGAAAAGAAATCAAACTAAATCCACTGCTTTGTTTTGTAGCTTCCTGCGGGCTAACAAGGTCACAAGCCTCTTCAGAAAGATGGGCGCTTAAGGTGCAGAAAGATGTTTCATCAAAGATTCATTATCAGTCATCCTCTTAATACAACTTTCCAAGGGACAGACAATGGTTGACTTTGTTTATTGTCAGAGTCAGAGAGGAGTTTATTTTGTATCTCCCTAATGCTAGCATTAGCAGTGCATTTCAAACCAAGATTATTAGGTTAAGTTACAGGTTTGGCATCCAGGTGGGAGCCCTGCCATACTTTCCACATCAAAATTAAACGTCATTGAAGGTAATACTGGCATCATTAAGAGGTAGAAATGAGAACAAGGCCTTGTTTTATGAGGAACAGAACATACAACCAGATTTCCAGCTCTCATGTCTCCATGCTTTTGGGTGGCTGATTATTACATAACAAAACCAAGCCTGTAGTACATGGAAACGGGCCTGCTGGAAGCATCATCACACCGCTCAGAGATGAGTCATAGGTTTTTGGCTTCTACATATACCCATTCTTCTGTTTCCTTGCACAGGGTCAGTTTGGCAGTGGCTGGTGGAATTAGCTATGTTAGAGCCAGACCTCAAGAGTCGGCACGCTCCTCTGGAGATTGTTATTGATGGTAACCAAAGTAAAACACACCAAAACAGCCCTGCGGCTACAGGCCTCTGGTGCCAGTCTCTCTGGATTTTTATAGTGTGATGTGGTTTGAGACGTTAAATCCTTTTGGTTTCCTTTTTTTTTACTAATGATGTGGCTTTAAGTGAATGTGGGCCAATGTAAATTACAGGCAACAAAGAATGCTTTTACGGCAAATGAATATTATCCAGTGACTGAGTGGGCACACAAGCGTTTTCCTATTTGGGGGATGTTTTTGTAGACACCCTACTTTCACCACAAGGGCGTGCTCAAGGCAAAGTCTTGTTTTAGTTTTCATTAAGTTATGTTTAAGCTGTCAGTTCTATATGTCCTGTTATCATCAGTATTTCTGGCCATTTTAGTCAACATAGAGGTATTCTTTAAGATTTTGAAATGTATAATTTAGACAAAAATGTATAATTTAGACCGAACTACTTTCTCAGTTGCATTTACATCCATATCTGCTTCAAATACGACCAGAAGGTTTTTCAGTCCCGTCTGCTCCATCGCCTGGACATTGTCAGTCTCCCAGCGCTGAAGGCGACTGCGTTGCTTTCATTCCCTTATCTGGAAATGACCAGACTCTCAGAAGCTCCTCGTACAACCATGCAGAGTAGTTTCCCTCCTCTCTCTTGCTCTCTCTGTTGCTACTGTGTGCTGTATGTTGTCAGTAAATAAAGGAAACGAGCAGTTTTCCCTTGCCATATTTGACAAAGAGCAGACCCTACAAGGGCAGGATGACTATTATTTGATTTTGGAAGCTGAGCTAGGGAAAACCTAAAAAATACACTATTTAAAATCCTCATGGATCTGAAACATAGCAACTATAGATACAAACTGCAGTGAATTAGCTTTATTAGGATACTGAAAAACACGAGTGAGCATCACAGGATGTTTAAGGTAAGATGACCCTCACTCATATTAGCCGTTGACCCACTGAGCGGAGTGGAACACTTGCATAACGGGTTAATTGAGATCTGTACTGGACACGCTGTAGCTAATGTCAGTAACAGATACTGAGAGTGCCATCTGTTACGGGTTGGGAAGGCCAGTGGTGTTGAATGGAGGCTCTCTGATCAGCTGACAGAACATGGGATGTCCCCACACTGTCATCTGACGGGGGCTGGCCTCAGCAGTCTTTAAGGTCCCCAAAAGTTACAGGCAACTAAGTGTATAAATGACACAGCCAATCTTAAAAACACCACTTTTATGTCTTTTATTTGTAGTTTTCATTTCAGAAAATGCTGAGATTGTGTTATCCTCTAATTCTGTGAAGACAGCGCAAGACAGATGTCCTGTTCTTACTTCTCTTTGTTGGTAGAGGGAGGGCAGTGGAAAGGAGGCGGGAGGAAGTGCAGCCTGAGCCAATCGCTGGTGTGTCCTTCACGGACTGGCCTCCTTTTACAGGCTGCTGACATGCGTGCTATATTAAAGAGACGCCGCCCACAGCTGCACCTGACAATTTACAGCACTGACACTGCTCAGCGGGGGGAAAGGCACTCCAGTCCCCAGTTATTTGCATCACTTGCGACAGTGACATTTCTTAGCTGAAGCTGTGTGGAAATTACAGCTTTTATACTCAAACGACACAGAACACTGCTCCCTGCTGGCTCTGTGCTCCGTAGCCCTGGAGGATTTTCTTCTTGCCTGGATATGAAAGCTTAGCCTATATTGGTGCAGTTGTCATTTTCTGTTTGCAACTACGTAAGTGGATTCCTTCATGAAGTAACCAAGTAGTTTATTTTACATTGTTCATCCATCGACTGAAGGTGAACAGTTTCCTCTTTTTATAAAAAAAAGGACCATCCCTCTTCTCTAGAAAGGAAAACAGCCTCCAGATCTGTGGAAATCAGTTTGATATATTTTTCAACTTAGTTTATTTTCAACTTTCTTCAACTAGCAAATGGTGTGATCTTCACTTTGTACAGTTTTCAGACATCACCGCACCCCTCTCGTGATGCAGATGGTCATGGTCAGATTTAGTTTTGAACCAACAACCCACTGCGTTTCATGAAGAGGTTTGGCAGCCTGAGGAGGAGCAAGAAAAAGAAGGAGCAGGATGGGCTAGGAAGCAGGAATCAGTCCGAGGCGTCATGTCTGTCCGGTAATGTGCCATGTCTTCACCTGCTCCATTTTAGTCCAGCAATCATGGATTCAGATCCTTAATGTTAACAGTCAATCTATACTTTCATGAGTCACATGCTGGTACACCTTTTTAAACAATACATTTTAAAGTATTTTTTTAGTGTGAACATGTTCCCAGCCTATATATATACACACATAGTAGGTGGTGAAGGCAGTTTGTGGTGGGCTGAGGCTCTGCATATAGTTTAGGTGCCGATTACATGGTCCTGGTTTCTTGTTTCACAAATGCATGCACTACAAATTGACAGCACACAGACCAAAGTGGTAAAGCTATGTGTGAAGGGTTGACCTGGGGCAAGAGATTACCTAAAATATCACGCTGCTAAATGTGCTAAATACTACACCAACTGCACGATGCATTATGCATTGTGTCTGCTAATATGTGTTCTTTAATTTAAATGTTAAAACGGTAAAATAAATACGATTTGTTTGTATTCCTGTCAACGAGGTAAAGTGATTCATAGCCACTCTATCTGATGCAGTGTCAGTTTGTATCCTAAGGGAGTCTCTTCAGAATAGCTGCTCCATTTTAAAAACGTTATTTAATCGACAGGAGTTATTTTACCTGACGTTGGGACAGTCAGAACATGCTAAGATGATTTTTTTTCTTATGTGTGGAGATGGTATCTCTGTTAATAATGTTCCTTCAGGTTTTCATAAGAGTAATCATGAACATTGACAGAAAAATGGATATCAAACAAAAAGTACCGACCACCATGCGCACTTAAGGCGGCTTTGGTAATGTGTTAGCTCATAATGCTTGATGTGTCACAGGGACACACTGTGAGGCGTTGAAGTGGCTCTTCATCACAGACTTTACTGCTCCTGATTTAGAGCCGGTCTGACCTCCCTGGAGTAGATGAGAGGAGCTGTCCTAATGATGAACGCCCAAATGTAGCGGTATAGGACATAGTTCATCTTAAAGTCAGAATATACAGCCTGGTGATACCTCCAGCCTATAGCATAAGCCCTTATATCCAGAGCGTCCACACATTGGAAAGTCAACTGTGTAGCTGCTGACATCTACATGAGACATTTGCAGTAGTCTGTGTGCTTCTATGCAACATTTTGCATGTCCGTTTGAATTGTGACTGCACATTTAAATGTTTTGCCATGATGCAGTGAGTGAGCTTGCCTTTTTTGGGTTCCTGATAATTCCCTTGTTGTCTGTATTATGGTGTTTCTAGAAATTGATTTGACACCCTTGTTGCTAATTTGGGTCACTTGACTATATCACCGTCCACACGGCGGCGTGCGTTGAAGCTTCAACGCTTCTGCCCATTCACTTTGAATGGGGTG